ATAAGCGTGTAAAGGTTAAGCACGAGATCCCCTCGACACTGTACTGTGTGCTTGTGCTTACCACCGATTTATGCAATACAAGTAGCCTTTTGCTAATTCGTGTGCCTTCTTGTTGCCTTTGTGTGTGTGYTTGCTTTGTTTCGTAGGCTTACTCGCCCATTTCGAGTGCCGCACGGGGCCCCAGCGTTTATCCCCGTGACAAAATGGCAGATCGCATCAATTCTAAGCTTATTTCTTTGCTTTTTGCTTCGACGTTAAACCACCAGTTCATGAATCCATCATTTTGTTGAGGCATTGGAATGTAACTTCTCAAGTTGAGCTAAATGTTTTAGGCCTCCTCACAAAGGAGGAGCAATACATGGTTAGTGTCTTCTACTTCCCCGTAACGCTCCTTACTCCCCATTTATTGAGTCTCTCCATCATTTGTTAGCATCTTTCCTTTTAATGCCAAAAATATCTCAAGTACTGGATTTTTGGGGGGCATCTGAGCTTCCATATCCTTTTTAGTTTGATGCCCATTATCTTGCATTTGCTCCTTCTCAAATAAACTATTAGGCAAATTTGACCGTAAAGCATCATCCCTTTGGGTTTGGATTCCAAACTAGAATATCTACTCTCCACTCTGGATTTCTTATATGTTCATCCCTACACATCTTTTTGTATATCAAATCAGAGGGTGCTACGTTAGTACTCTCTCATGCTTAAATCTAACATGTGCCAGTGGAGTCCAGATCTCCTACACATCAAATCAGAGGGTGCCATATCAGCACCCTCTCATGCATAAATCTAGCATGTGCGAGTGGTATTTATTTCAAGGGATGGGTTGGGAACCACCCGAATTTTGTCCCATATAGCCAGGAATGTCTCTTGTAGAATTTTTTCCTTGTTCCTACTTTCCATCCCAATTTTGCTATACCGACTGCATTGATCCGTTTCAGATTCTTAACTCCCCATCCTCTATTTGTCCTTGAGGTACAAAATTAATTTTTTCCTACTTGAGTAAGTTCATGCCATTTGTTTCCTTTTGCTTTCGTAGGAAGCCTCCCCGTTTCCTTTCTATTGTTTCAATCGCTGCTTTGGGGAGTTTGAACACTCTCATAAGAAATTGTGGAAGAGTGCTTAGAGTAGCTTTAAGAAGGGTTGCTCTCTATCTGCTAGAGAGAGGGTGTTTCTCTTCCATCAAGTTAGTTTCCTATCCACTTTTTTCTCTATTTTTTAAAAAGTTGCTATAGTGACCCTCCCCTGTATTATTGGGGCACCTCGTCAATGTTATTTACCTTCCCACCCTTTAATCCTTCCTCAAATTTTCTCAAGAAAATCTCTTTGATCTCATTAACACCCTCAATCCAGTTTACTCCATCTTTAATCTTCAAGTTCCGGTTTTTATTTCTTCTAATTAAGGTGGAGGTATGGAAAAATTTTGTATTCATGTTGTTCCTGGATTTCTGGGCCCAAAACATTTTTTACTCATTAACATTTTATTTAATTGTCTCTGTAACACGATCTCTCTATTAATTAGATCCCTTCTACTTGGCTCGTCCGTTAGATCTTCTTGATTTTTCCTAATAAGCTCCATAATCTTATTCTTCTCATCATGGATGTTGCCAAATACTTGTTTGTTCCAATTTTTAATTACCTCTACAGTTCGGTTTCTCTTCTTCAAGAACTGGACGCCTTTGGACCCTGTATCCCTTTGATTCCATGAAGATTTAATAGTGGGGTGTCCGATCATGTTGGAAGGGGAAGGGTGGTGGTACGTAGGAGATCGGGACTCAGCCACCTCATTCTCTTAGTAGTTGAATTAGTTTGCATTCTCTATACTGAATCTAATAGGTTGGGTTCAGGGACGACCACCTGTTGCATTAACTCGTTCTTAGACTGATTAAAGCTAAAACATCAACAATGCAGAAATAAGCATGTTCAGATGTAACCATCTGATTGGGGTATTTTCTTTTTTGTTGATTACTAGTAGAATGGCCCGTGCAAAGCACGGGGAATTTAAATCAGTGAATGATTAATCATAACCAGGTATAGAATTTACTAAGTTGGGTGTGGTCACTTAGGTTGATTCTTCATTGACTGTGTTAGCATCAATTTGTTTGATTATTGAAGCTTTGACCTAAAATGAAATTAAACTTCAATTTCTTTAATCCTAATCATGGTTTTTAAAATCGGACCGGACTGGATGGTCAGACTGGAAAAACCAGGAACTGGTCAGGTGATTGGTTCCTTTTTTCCCCAAAAATCGGATTTTCCCCCAAAACCGTTGATTTTGGTCAGTGAACCGCTGAACCGGGTGGTTAACCGTTCAGACCCGGTAACCAGACCCCTGACCGGTTCGGTCTCCAGGTCGGTTTTAAAAACCATATTCCTAATTGAGTAGGACTGATATGGTTAAAAAACAGAATTAAATTAAAACATGATTAATGATTCCACTTAATATATAATGTAAATGTGAATATATAAAAGTATGCAAAAAGTGTAAACAGGTACCGTAATTGATGCATTTGTATTTAGTTTGTGACTATAGTTGTATATGCACAAGGAGGCAAATAAATTAACAAAAGGTTAAGAAACAAACATGTGCAGGTACTTCCAATAAGAGCAATCCCTCCACAATAACTTGTATGAACCATGTAAATGTTCAACTTGTATCTGGGAAAGAAAATGAAAAACAAGACAATTGTGTGACAAGTTTCCTTTATATTAAGGAAATCAAAAATGGTAAACAAAAGAAAACAAAAGAGAAAGAAAATTCAATGTATTTTTATGGATCAAACAAAATGTTGAATGGAATTAAAAAGAAACTTCAATGTATTTTTATTGAAAATTTTGTGTTGCCACCATTCTAGAGCAAAGAGTTAAAGAGCCTAAATCATATAAATTGTGTTCAATATGCAGAAACCAAATGACCCACTGTCATATGGGGACAAAAACATGAAAGAGATGAGTCCAAAATTTTCAATAATTAAAGGTATGAACATTGCAAAAATGGAATGGTTGCTATGAGATTCATCATTAGAGTTATAAGTGCCCTCTATAGACTGACATATCTGCTTTGTCTATAGGATTTATTTCTAATCCATGTTTGTATGTGCTTAATCTAATATACAAAATATCTAAAGGGGAAAAGAAAAGAAATTGAGGAATGACCAACATTAGATAACATTACCAGGACTCAATTAAGTTAAGAAAATATCAAGATACGGATAGTTCTGAGCTTAAGTTCAATTCAAAATTCAGTTTTCATGATAATTATCCCCTTAGCGCAATAAGTTCAATTATCTTCAAAATCGAAGAAAATAAACACCTAGAGTTCCATATGTGACAATTGTCAACGCTGAAACATGCTTTGCTATCTTTCTCTTGTTTGCCTTTTAGGACCAAAATCATTCATGAATGCATAAGAGAAACTTTCTGTTTTCGAACGCTAATTAGAGGGTGTTCGCCAAATAGGACAACTGGTATTTGCATCGTTGCATGGGTGAGAAGGGGAGAAACATACGAATGGAAGAAATGAGGTTGTTCGTCCAAAATCTAGTTGCCCCCTTCGCTTCAGTCATTTTAATAGAGGATATGATTGGAAATAAGAAATCAGGGAGGGGTAGGATTTGAACTATAAAATCAGGGTATTTGGACGATGGACGATTCGATTCGTTTGCTTCAGTCATTTTAAGAGGGGAGAGGGGATAGAGTTGGAATTAAAAATCAGGGAGGGGTAGGATTTGGACGATGGATGATTCTTTCACTTCAGTCATTTTAAGAGGGGAGGGGGGGATAGAATTGAAATTAAAAAATCAGGGAGGGATAGGATTGGACGGACAAAGAAATTGATTGTGTCATATCATTCAAGTGTACTTCCTCAACAGTCACAAGTGCAAAAGGTATAATTTGCTATATTTGCTAGGTAGTTTGGCAGAACGGTGGCCTTAGGGGTGTAACCAATTGGTTTTGGGTTAATTCAAATCAAAATCAATTTGGATGGATTGGACGGACCAAGACATCCAATTAGACCAATCCTGACTTGATGATCCAAATTCCAAAGTATTTATTGGATTGGACCTGGTCCATCCATAATGAATTTATATTGGATTGGGTCAGATTGAACCAATGTCCGGTCCATTGATAGAAGAATACAGGTATAGACCATGTTTGGGAAGGAAGTGGAACCAATCTAAATTAAAACACATCTGAACAGATTTGAACGGTCCGAACATTGATTTCGACCAGTCCAAAATGATCTAAAGTATTCTTCAGATTGGACTGACCTGGACCATCTGTAATGGACTCATTTTGGACAAAATTCAATTGGACCACAAATCAGGTCCAACTTAATTCCATACCTGGACCAAATCACTGTCTTGGAGTCTCATGTTTGTCCTCTTTTATCTGTAGCACTTTGAACCTCCCCATCGACCTGTTAGAGAATATCAACCTCAACCTGTTCAAGGACCACACTGTTTGCTTTTAGGTTGAATGGTTCTTTGATATGGTATCAGAGCCATTAATGAGGATTGAACACTATATCTTTTTTGAACTGTTTGTCTCATGCTAGCAGCACGCCTCCCTTGTTGAAACAGCTTCCACCTGGTCTACCTGATTATTTTATTCAATTTTGATTTCTCAATTGCAAAAGGCTGCTCATTGACTGAAGAATACTCATAAATTATCAAAAGAAATTCTTTACAGGTTCTGAACTCAAAATATCTATCACCTACAGAGTACAGAGAGACACCGTATTCTTTACAATCTTGAGTCATTTTGACCTTTATTGGCTTCCATTTACAAAACAACTATAAATACAGGCAACTGAATCTCCCCTTCCCATCCTGCCCAAGTGTGTGTGTCATTACCGAATGTGGGTTCGTCCAAGTGACCAAACTCCAGTATCTCTAACAGGTGCCTGAAATACAAATAACAGAATGAGTTTAGAATAGGATTAGAGGATTCTGAACGTAATTTGCAGCAAGAAAAATAGCTATCATACTTACTGGTGCTTTCACTGAAGGGAAGACGTTCCAAAATCGCAAGGTTTCATCCCCGGCTCCGGTAACAATAGTCTGCAAGCATTATCCAGTTTTAGTTTGATAAACACTTGAATGGTAAAATGTCGCACACATAAACATAGTAACTTGTTTACCTGAACAAATGTGCATATATCACTATATGTTGATATACTTTATACATTTATGTAATGTGTAAGCATGTGATGAGAACTGTTGTGTAAAACCCAGAAATACAGATTTGAATGGCACACAAAAATAAGTAAAACAGAAACAAAGAGAAGAAAGAAACAGAGCACACAGATTTATAGAAATTGTTCTCTACTGAGATTATAGAAACTGAGATTATAGAAATTGTGCTCTACTCTCTCACACCAAGCCCCTACGCTTTCCACCATTAACCACTGAAATTTTGCCTTGAGATTTTTCTCAACTTGATTCAGAGCGGGTCATGAAGCAGACCACAAAAAAGAAAAAAAAAAAAAGTCTAGAGAAATTAGTATCATACCTGGCCATCAGGAGACATTGCAAGATAAAGTACTCGCAAACTATGACCCGTTAGAGTTGCAACCTGTGATATCAAAGTTGAGTTCTTTAAGGAGAATTGTTGTAGTAATCTAGAGTTCAGAGAGGTCCAAAATTGAGTTTGGCAGAAATGCATATGCTGAGGTGGATGTGTGAAAAAATTCTAAAGGAAATGGGTGGAAGTATTAAAAAATGATTTGAGCGCTAGTAATTTAACAATGGATATGGCATTAAATGGACGGAACGATGAAGCAGGATTCATGTAACAGACCCCATATGGTTGGGGGATGAAGCTTAGATAATTGATGAATCTTAGAGTGCATAGAGAAACAATAAAAGATTTGCAAATTTTCCCAATGTTAGATAAAAATAGCGAAATAAACCTTCTTTATTGCAAAATGAATTGGGGTTTTTTCTCATTTCAAGATTTGTGCTTTCAACCATTTATGGGGTAAAACTTATTACAGATATATAGGTGGATGTTTAAAACAATACCTTCCCCATTGATGGATATTTCCACACCATGATTTGATTCTGGGAGTACCCATGAGTGCTGACCAGCTCATTTACATTCTTACTCCATGCTAAATTACAGACCTGCAAGTGGAGTAGTCAGCAACAGGTAATTAATTACTGATGCCCAAAGCGTAGATTAGTTGATATATAATTAAGCAAGGATAACCTGACTTCCTGTGTCCACACTGTTCAACTGGTTGCCATTTGTGGTGTTCCAGAATCGAATACACCGATCAGCAGTTCCTCCTCCAGATGCAAGAAGGCCATTCTGGTGAGGTGACCAGGCAATGGCTTTGACGGCAGCTGTGTGCTCTGTAAGTTTCAAGACTGGCTGCTGAGAATGCTGGTTCCAGACCAACAGCTGAACAAAACAGTTAAAAACCAGCCATAAATTAGTGCCTTTGCCAAAGACATGGTTAGAAATTGAGGGATAGAATTGATTAATGAACTTTAGTACCTGATTATCATTGCCACCTGATGCAAGTTCCCTGTCATCGTGGGACCATTTCAGGCCGCATACCTGACCCATTGAAAATAAAGCAGGACAAGATCGTTACATTTTACAGAGGCCCAAATAGAAAAAGCCAGATTTTACATTCTCCACCAGGAGTTGCTTGTAGGCTGTAGCCATGTCCATGACAAGTGCATGACAAAGCATGTGTATTTGCCTATGAAGGCCAATGACAAGAAACCGATAAGGCTTTACCTCAGATTTATGGCCTGAAAGCTTGCTGACAAAGTCGCTTGGGACTCGAAGATCGTGTTGAAGTATATTACGATCTCTACTTCCAGAAGACAATATGCGTGAGCTCCATGCAAGTACTCCAGTTCTTGTTTGATGCCCACCCATGGTTCGGACCCGCTTGCACTGAGTGCCGTCCCAAATCTATGACAAATTTTCAGAGCGCTCGGTAAGCCTCAACGACGTATAATATGTGATTTAACTTAATGATAGATATACAATTACTAACCTGAACTTCACCAAGATTTGTACCGATTGATATGTATGAACCCTCACGGGTCCATTGGACAGAGCACACGCTGTCAGTAGGTCCCAAGTCGCACAGTTTTGTCACCTGAGAACGTAAAAAAATAACAAATTCTTCAAATATCCTTCTAAAATCTGCAGGAATACCAAGAAACACTGCAGAGAAGAGAAAGTAGAGTTTGCAATAATAGAAAAGGGAAAAAAAATCAAAGGCCCAAACAACTATATTCTGAAAGAGCTTCTTGGGGTAGTAGTTAAATTAGGATTTCACTTCCTCCATTGGCCAGTGGAGATGGTGAAGATCTATTACCTTGCTGGTTGACGCAGTCCACAGGTAGACGCAGGTGCCCAGTCCAACTGCGAGGACGTTTTGTGAAGACCAATCGACAAGGTTCAGGTAGAAATCATCTTGAAGTGAGGGGGCATCCAGAACCTGCAACCCATTCCATATCTAATGAGCAACCATTTCTCATACTTGTTACATTAATGGGGTTCTTCCAGACAATACTCCTATGTTCAGTCATCAATAAAAAAATTAATCCTTTAGTAGCTTCGTTACTTTTAGTCCCAAGCTACCTCAAGCATCTACTTTTCTTCTTTGAGTTTTGCCCCCAGCTTGGGCTAGCTCTCCCATGAATATGCAACGATTTTAAGATATTTATGTTTTTTATGCATTATATCAGAAGAAGGTTAGGAGATTTCCCACTGAATTTAGAAAGATTTACGAGCTAATCTTCTTCCCCCTTCAAATGTACCGAGCTTTTATAACTTGTGTTCGTTGAGAAAAAAGGATAATTGGAATGAAAATATTTGGGGAAAAACTAGGAACTCGAGCATTGTACCTTGTGAGGTGTCTTGGGTACCTTCCTAGGTGGTTTGGGAGGGGTAGAAGCCTCCCCAGAGATGGTCACATCGTGACCCAGTATAGATGGAGAGTATGGGGAACTTGGAGTGGAAGGATCTGTCTTGAACCGCAACATGTTCTTGCTGGGGCTCATGGGTGAAGCCTGACCTGCAGGAGAGAACGACCCAAAATCAGTCCCGAAAAGCTCGTTCTTCAGCAATCTAGAATAAGCCTCGCTTCCCCCTTCTTTGACAGGTGAAGCCTTCTCGACAAGCCCAAATGTGTGGAGTCTTGAAGAGGATCTGCAAGGTATAAATCTATCACTGCAGGTGGCTTTTGATGGAGACGACAAGTTCGAGATGGCTCGAAAGGAAGTGGAGAACGTGTCAAGGTGAAGCGAAGTTTCAGTCATTCCAGCCGGGAGATTCAACCCGCTTTTCCTTCTCTGGGTTGAATCCATTGCTGGCTTGTGCTTCTGCGCTTGTTTTTCTTCTCTACTGAATTGGGAGCGAAGGATTTTCTCGGGGAGTTTCAAAGGACTCTCTGCAACGTCGAAGAAGAGATTGATGGGTTTTTTTTTTTTTTTGTGGAATGTCACAAAAACAACATCAACAACGGTCACTTTGGAGGAGCTTAGAAATGCGCTCCAAAGCGGATTGGGTTTTTGAACTTTGGCGTATACGGTACAGACAATCCCAACGGTTAGTCGATCTCGTACTTTTTCTTCATTCTTTTTCTCAGTTTTGTTGCAATGAGCACTTGCACAAATGAAGTCCTCTGCGCATGAGCTCTTTGCCGTGGATTATGGAGAAAAGGAGATCTAATAAGAGACTTTGATACAGTGTTGCTGCCGCTCCCAATCCACAGAAGACTGCAGCCGCATATCTCACAATCCACAGAAGACCCGCCTTGAATTGCGATGTACGACTGCAATTCAAGGCGGGTAGAGAAAAGTGGGCAGGAAATCCGGTTTGGTTGCAAACAGCATTGAAGATACGAACTTACCAACATATATGCTTAATTAAACCTTTTAAAAATGGAAAATTGTCTATAATTCACCATGAATTTTCAACATTTCTCTTAAATTCACCATAATTTTTCAAAATATCTAAAGTTCACCATGTTTTATTTTCCAAAACTCACTTTTCAAGTTTTCATTAGTGCACAATTAATGCTTCTTAACTGAGGTGTCCATGTCAGCATAAATAACAATTTTCATGATCAAATTACCCTTGAATGGTGAGTAGAGGAAAAATGGTCTTTTTTAGTTTTCAATTTTCTTGTTTTTTTTTTGCATCTAGTGTTTTTTTATAATTTCCGCCTTTTTACATTTTTCTATTTTCTACAATCTATAAACTTTTGGTGTTTTTTCTACAATTTTTATTTTTTGATTTTGTTTTTCAATTTCTATAGTTTCTATAATTTGAAAATATTTTTTTATTTTGTTTGCAATTTCTATAATTTTTTATATTTTTTGTAATTTCTATGTTTTTTTGTATTTTATATTTGAAAATATTTTTTTGAATATTTCCTTTTTTTTCATGTCTAAATATTAAAATGGTAATATATTAACACTCGTTAATTTATTTTGTATGTATTTTATATTTTTCTATGAAGGTTAAAATGGTAATATATTAACGCCTATTAGTCTGTTTAGTGTCAAGTTAGTGACATGGTGAGTTTTAGACATTTTAAAAAGTTGTGGTGAGTTTAAGAGAAATGCTGAAAACTCATGGTGAGTTTTAAACAATTTACCTTTTAAAATTAAAACGTTAACCCCTATATTTTCAATTCTGCTAAGTGTTAATATCTAGACTAATCCCATGCACTGTTAGTGGAGTCCACCTAAAATAAAACCCAAATCTTATAACAAATCACTGGTTCTTTTCATAAATGACTTAGGTGGCCTTTGGTAAATTTGAAGTCTAAAGTCTGAAAAAATAAATTCTAAAAAAGCTTTGAAAGCATTCAATGGAAAATGTGCTTTTTTTTGTTCTTGCAAATATCTGAATATAGTCAAATTGTTGGATAATCTAAATGTTGTGATATCTAAAAATTGTGCATTTTATAAATTTACCCCTCAAGTTTTTATTTAAATAAAAATAAATTAAAATTATTAAAATAATAATAATATAGAAAATATTATAATATAATAGAAAAAAAGATAAAATACTATGAAAACTGATACATAAAAATATAAAACAGATGATAAATAAAGTCCAATAAATAATATTTAAAAAAGTAGTAAAATATTAATATTATAAAATAATAAATAATAAATAATATCCTATTAATAATTAAAAAAATAAAATTTAAGAAGATAAAATAGTAAAATTATTATAAACATAATAAAAATGTAAAAGACAAAGGGTATTGATAAATAATAGTAATAAAAAAAAATATAGAAAAGATCCGATAATATTATTTAAAAATAAAAAACAAGTATAAAATATTGTAAAATAAATACAAAATATTAAAAAATGGTAATTCAATAAATGAAAATGATCACAAAATTTTAAAAATAGTATAATAAATTAATAAATAAACCATCTTTATTTTTTAGTTTTTCTATATAAAAGATTAGACTTATGGAAAGAGAGTGAGAGTAGAAAAAATATAAATATAAAAAAAACTTAAAATAGGGTTGAATTTTTTTTAGGGAAGATGAAAAAAAGGGGTATGGGGATTCATGATTTTTTATTAATATTTAAAAAGGGCTGTTGGGAAAAGGGGTCACTATAACTTAGAGGAGAAGCTCTGAGGCATGTTTGAAGACATTGTCTTTAGAACGTTAATTGCCCCCGCACACTTTCACTGAGTTTACTGTTGGGTTACAAGCAAATTTTTTCCTATGATACAACAAAGCCTTGGGCGAGAATCTGCAGTCAGCAAAGTTGAAGAGTCTCCGAAAAAACCTTCTTTGAGACAATAGCAAACCAGACTGAGAGACAAAGTGATTTTCGATATTGTGTGTGCAAATACTTGATTCACGCTTCTTAAATAAATTCTGAAGAATCATGGAGTAGAGGAAGGTGTTGGTTCAGAAAAGACTCCTTGAACAGTCACAATTTCAAAAATTCTAACTGTTGATTGATGCCTCTTGATCACACCCTTCGCACGAGCAAAGTGCACCTCTAAAGTGCCCCATTGCACCGCACACATGTTGCGTGCGTGTTGCATGGCAACAAACCAACATACTCTCTTCTTTATATCTAAGGAGTGTAAATCAACTCCTATTAAAAAACCCAAAACAATTCTTGTAATTTTCCAATGTGGGATAAGTTAAAAAATGGTTTTAGTAAGAGAAAAGTTATTTTTCAAAACATGCGTGCATGTGTATTTTTTCATGTAAATTGATCGATCAAGTCATCAAACCCTATTGGATTTAACCTCTAATGAGATTAAAATCCAACAAGGGCACACTTAAGAAATAATTTTTTTCTCATTTGTTTTGCTTTTACAGGGCCACACCCACTATACTTCGCGAGCAAAGGCAAGAGTAGCGGTCATTGCTTTTCATTCTCCCCATCTTTCCATCTCTCCTTCTCTCATTCCCCCTCTTCCTCGTTCTTTTTCTTCTTTCAGCATTCTTTTCTTTTCTTTTCCTCCAACAACGATGATGATGAGATGCGTAACAGTCGACGATCCTGGTTTGTTGGCTCTGTTCATCACAAAGAAGAAGAAGAAGCTTCTTTCCAAAATCGCAACATAGCTTCTTGTTCTTTCTGAAATCACAGAATAGAGCATTTCGTTTGTTGTCCCTTATTTTGGTGGCAGAAAATGCATCCAAGATACATAGGACAATGTTGAGTTTTTTTATTTTAAAAAATGGGCACAATTGGAATCAAAGTTTTATTCACTACCTCAGAATGCAACTCAGACACTAAACAATTCGAAAATATTTTCAGCATTTGGAGGAGTGGTTTAGAGGCAACACTGAACGATCTCCAATCAATTTTATATATTATTGGATTTTATTCTCATTAGAGATTAAATCCAATGGGTTTGATTGGTTAATTACATGAGAAATTGCACTTGCACACTTGTTTGGAAAAATAGCTTTTCTTTTACTAAAATCAGTTTTGAACTTGTCCCACATTGGAAAATTACAAGTTTTATTTTAGGTTTTTCAATAGGAGTTGATTTACATTCCTTAGATAAAGAGAGGAGACTATGAAGGGTTGCTACTGCGCAATGCACGCAGACACATGTGTGCGGTGCAATGAGGTGCTTTAGAGGCGCACTTTGCTCACACTTTCGCGCTCACCCGCGTGGCTTGCGAAGGGCGGCTTTGGTTTTGGTGCGATGCCTGACCGTTGATGTGATCAACAGTCACGATTCAATCGAGTGTGATCAAGAGGCACAATTCAAAGTTAACAGTCATTAACTGTTAACTACCTTTTAAACAGTCATAATGTTTGAAATTGTGACTGTTCAAGGTGTCTTTTCTCAACCAGCACCTTCATGACTCTTCAGAGATTATTTAAGGAGCACAAATCAAGCATTTGCACACAAACAACATTTTCGAAAATCACTTTTTCTATCTCTCTCAATCCGGTCTGCTATAGTTTCACAGAAGGTTTCTTCGAAGACCCTTCAACTTTGCTAGTTGTAGATTCTTGCCCAAGGCTCTATTGTATCCTGAGAACGGATTTACCTATAACCCAACAACAAACTCAGTGAAACTGAGTGGGGGCAAATAACATTGTGGCGCACCTCAGAGCTTCTCCACCAAGTTTCAGTGGCCCCATTTCCTAACAATTTTAGAACGTTATTCTGCAATAGAGGCGGGAGCAAGTATGTCTTTGATCAAGATGATGAACCAAGATCTTGTTCGACTAGACCTGTTCGATGGAGCAAATTTCAACCAATGGCAAGACAAGATGATCTTCTTTCTGACAACATTAAAACTATACTATCTCTTAGATACGAATATGCAATCACTTCCTGAACCCACTAACAAAGATTGAACTAAAGAAGAAAAGAGCAAAACGAGAAGATGATTCACTTCTGTGCCAAGGACATATACTAAACGCCTTATCAGACCAGCTCTACAACTTCTACAAGGAACTTATATCTCCAAAAGAAATTTGGAAGGCTCTAGAATTCAAATATAAGGTGCAAGAAATATGTACGAATAAGTATCTTATCGTAGAATACTTTAACTTCACCATGAACGACCATAAGCCCATATTGGAGGAAGTCCACGAACTACAGGTGATAGCCAATAAAATTCGATCCCTTGACATCATCATTCCTGAATCTTTTCAAGCGAGAGCGATAATTGCCAAACTTCCACTCTCTTGGAAGGATTACAGGAAGAAGCTTCTGCATAAGGCTGAAGAACTTACCTTGGAGCAAATTTAGCAATACCTTCGTATTGAAGAAGAGTCTCAGATTAGAGACAGTAAGGATAAGACCCTGGCCGATATGCTAAAATGTAAGGTTAATTTTGTGGAAAACAGATCGAAGAAGATTAACCCTACATTACAAGTAAAGAAAAAGGACGGGAATTTCAAGAGGAGCAACAATAAGAAAGGATCCTGCTATGTTTGTGAAAAGAATGGGCATTATGCCCGAGTCTACTAACATCGGAAAGGTGGACCCAAGT